GGTCGCGAGCTCCACTTGCAAGAACGCCAGCGGCAGTGTGCGCGTGCTTGCCTTGGAGAGAACGACAGCCTCGAGCTCCGTGACGTGGCGCTCGTACTCTCGGAGGACCGTGCCGATTGCGTGCTGCAACGCGTGGCGATACAGGCTGTGGCTGGCCGCGACCGCGGGCACCGGCGCGAGTGGCGCCGCAAAGGCCAAGATGTGCTTGTACGCGTGGCCCACGCGTAGCACATGGAGCAGTATCGCGCGGTCCGCGACTGAGAGCAGCGACGGGCAGTAGTTGGCGTCGATGAGGAAGCCGTCGCCGGACGGGTCCTCGACGACGACTTCGCCTGTGACGCCGAGGAGCGCGAGGAACACCTCGTGGTGCATCTTGGATTCGGCAAAATTTGTTTTAGGGGGCCCGGGTGGGGGTCCCTCCAAATCCGAGGCAATCGGACGCTGGGTAACCGGTACCGGGCGTTCATGGAGAAATGGCAGCGCCGCCCCAAGCAACCTTGCAGCGGTATCGGTCCCATGTCTTTGACCTTTTCTGAGCCTCTGCTCCGTGCTATGACGCTGCAGAACATGTTGCCTCTAACGAGCTAGGCGTATATAGCAAGGTTGGCCAGTTTACAGTAATGCAAGACTAGTTCGTCAGACGATTTCACTCGGCGGGCGGGCGTTGGGCCGCGCCGGCGCACTCCCGAAGGCCATACCACCAAGTGTCGAGAGGATCGTCGAGCCTGTGGACGACTGCAGCGCTTCGAGTGCACCCGAAGCCATCATCGATTTCATCTTGTTCTTGGCATCTGCGCTTGCTGTGTCAGAGATGCATGGTGGCATATGAGAGAACGTACCCTTGCTGCACTTGGTGTAGCCGACAATGTTGGCCGTCGAGAGCATGAGTGCCACGATCGCAATAAGAGCCCACTCGAGATTGAATTTGAGCACGGCGATGAGCAGGAAAAGCACCCAGACGCAGGGCGCGCCGTAGAGGCCAGTCCAAAAGACCTTGGCGTCGAGCGGGTCGAGCTCTGTCATGTCCTCGTGCGACTCGAAGATCCACTCGCTCGTACCATCTTCGTTAACGCGGTTCCACCAGCGCAGACCGACGAGGAGTCGACCCGAGACATTCTACGCAGAAGGGATAAGATCGCCCGATGGCATGTAGTGTACCTTGACGGTCCAAAAGTCAAACGCCAGCAGCAGGATGCAGATGACGAAGACAAATACAAAGCTGTTCGAGAAGAGGCCACCAAAGAGATAGGCGAGGAGCGCCAGCGCCTTGAATAGCACGTGGAAAACAGCGGCGACGGGGTGCTTGGCCTGGCGGACGCTAGCCGTGACGCTGCCCAGCCTAGCGCTCCGATGACGCAAAGGCGATCGAGATGCTCCTTACAGCGTGGCAGAGGCCTGGGGAGACGCTGGTGCTGACGACGACACGGTGGCTGCGCGGGACCGGGTCGGCTCGTCAACCTCGATGAACTCGAGCGCCTTGCTCTTGTCGCCACTGCTCATGCTGGAAAATGTTCAGCGTCCGGATACCGTGAATTGGGTTTAACGCGTTTCGAAAAACGCACTTCGATAACCCATTGGAGTTCGCACAATGGCAACTCGAGCGCGTCAATGGCTGCCTCCTACTACAATTTGTATTGACGTTATTGACCACACATCGTAAAGAAGATGACTTACATGTACCGAGAAAGCAGAAGTATCTGTAGCATAGGTGCTTCGTGGCGACTGGTTTCGAGCCCATTTCGTGCCCTTACCGATCCCAACATTAAGAGAGCCCGGCAAGGGCGCACCATTCGTATCCGCGCACACATATGTACTATGGCATCGATGGCAGGTGTTTTGGCTATGAGTACCGTACGATGCCTGGACCGATTTCCGCGTTGCGTTTTACGACTTTAACCTCAACGTCTTCTCGGCAAGCAACGGTCACTTCCATTTCTCGGGACCAAAGATGTCACATGGGGCGCTCTCGCCGCTGCCGCCGACGTACGACGAGACGCTAGCCGTAGGAGTATGACGGCGCCATGGCCTATGGCTCACAAAGCGGTGCGTAGGAGTGTCGGAAGGGCGTACCGGATTCTCTGCGCCCAGCGGTGTGGTTCTTCCTCTGCACGTCGGAGCGCGAGCCGTCGCCAGCCAAGATCGAAGCCACGTACGCCGCTGCGACAAAAGATATCTTCGGGCCGACCCTGCCAGCATCGATTGCTGCCGTATGCATATCCTGGCCGTTCGATGACTAACATATCGCAGGCGCCGATGTTTGGCAAGCCGACCTCGTCACAAGTCACGTTGGAGCTGAGCCCGGCGTTGGCCGTCGCCCACCGCCGGCTTTCCATAGTACTGCGGCGACTCCATGGCGTGGATCATTGTACGACGCCCTCTTCCACGCGCTCTGATGTAGCGAGTAGGCCGCGTACTGCCAGAACTAATGCGCTTGTGTCTTCTCGTCAACATCACGGAAGCTCAAGTGTATTGCATGATGCGGGTAGGACTCTATGGCCTCTACACACGTACATGGACAAGCCTGATGCACTTCTGTGTAGAGCTTGTTGCAACGCAGTCGCCCCAAAGATGAGTGGAAGCTCCCGACGTCGCCGGCCCACGAGCTTGCCGTTATCGGTCATCTAAAGGACACCGTGGCGTGGCGGTACCCACTGCTCGCGACTGCGATGCAGCGCCAAGGAGCATGGGATGACTCGTACTTTGCCGACACGATCCACAGCTTCCTCATCCCTTATGTTCCCCTGGCAGTAGGACAATGTTGACATATGTGTTGACTCATTCGAAGGTAGGTCGCTCTCCGGATTGTGGATGCGTACCTCGGTGAAGGGCCAAAGGTGCGCTTGCGTCTCGGTGACACGTGTGATCGATTCGTGCATAGATCCACTGCCGCTTTCTCATGGCTCTGCTGAAGCTCCACAAAGCTCCCATGGCGGCAGAGATGACGGCCACCGGCGCGTACGTCGACCCAATCCATTTGATCACATCCCACGGACGAGCTGCGTAGCGCATGGTGGGCGCTCTTCGCAACGCGCACTCGGGCGAACTCGATGGCGGAAATTTGTACCGTCGCCTATCGAAAGTGGTACGGGTACCTCTTTCGACGTCAGAACTTTGAGTTGCGACTCGCGACAACGCCGACGGCGTACGTGGATGTATCGACGATCGACGAATATGGGAGTCCACTGCCTCTTGTCGTCGATAAGTCGGCGCCACCGATGCTGCTTGACGCAACACGTGACTCTATCCTCTTGACGTGGCTGCCTGCGACCGAGCAGTTGAAGCAGCTGCAACGCTGCTACTGCGCAATCCAGCAAGGTCGGGCCTTGACACGATGTATCGCTACTGTGCCAACATCGCGCCGCTTATTGTGGTGCTGCAAGTTCTCGGCTGTGATCGTGTCATTGTAGCGTACCTCTCGCACGGCGTCGGGCCGCGTGACCAACTCTTCGGCGACAAAAATTGCTTCGTGGCTTCGCTTGCGCCGGCTATTAAGTACGCGGCCACTGGAACGCGCGCCAAGTTTGTCATGTGCCAGCCGTCTCTTCTTGCCATCGGTATCGACAGCAAAAGCAGCGCCGCTGCACTAGAGATCGATGATGGTCTTGTGCGTGGCCGGAGTCAGGCCACAGATGTCTTTTGGCAACCCACCACTCGGCGGCACGGAAGAATTCGACGTCGGCGACATTGAAGCGTACAAGTTTGTTCTCTAGTGACCTCCTTGTTGACCCGACAATAAATGACAAATTTGGGGATAAAAATACTTCCTGGTGTTTGTTGTTGAGTTTCGAGTGGGCTTGCACGTCCGTTGCTACAGGATTTTGCACACGCCTTAGAGTCCAGAGCGAACACCTTAGTGACGGAGTAACCCAAGATTACTCCTTGGCATCGTAAACAGCGTAGTCGTGCCAGTTGCTTTCATTATTCGCTAGGGTGGGCCCTGTGGCCCCACTGCCATACTATCGCGACGCGTTCGTTGGATGAACACCATGCAAGCAGAAGGTTGGACTCATAGCTCTAACCAGAGACGCCTTCGCCGCACAGAAAAAATGACATCTTCGTTGGCTTGGAGGCAGACTCGCGGCATACGGCATCCTGACAGCGCGCTGCTGTAGGTTGGCGGAAGCAATGCCCTGTAGAGTTTCCCAGTAGGACCTTTCGATCGTAGATCTATCGCGTAGGATCCAAGGCGTCAGCTTCAAGGCGTCAGCTCCGAGGACTATGCTATAAGCACCAAGCTGGGGCAGAGTAGGAAACGCATTGAGCGAGAAGTCCTAAGAGCATCTCCACCCGTCCGCGCTATCTCTATCTGGCTCTGGCTTTTTTTACGGTGGGATTTCTCACTGTATCGCCGGATACAGCGCGCTAAAAAAATGCCCCACCGGTCGCCCTGTAAAAAGATGCAGGGAGTCGCGAAATGTATGGCGTCGATAACTACGAACTTCGTCTAGAAATTCGATTTTATATTTATTTTTTGACTAGTATACAAACAGCAAGTAATTTAGAGTTTTACAGGGTAAAAAGCCAGAGTGGCCGCGAGCCCCGCATCGCGCTCCAATTTGCAGGGACCTCGGCCAATTTTTGCTTCTCCCTGTAAAAATTATACAGATACGGGACGATTTACAGGGACCGGTGGGGCGTTTCCCCGGTAAATTTTTTGAAATTTTAATGAGCCAGATAGAGATAGCGCGGACGGGTGGAGAAGCTCTAACTGTGTGAGCGCAAGAGCTCATCGATGTCCCATACGCACGAGCCACTGTTAAGCGAGGGTCGCCGTCAGGGTGCAGCGCCATCGCATAGTCCACGAAGAATGGCAGAGTGCTTGTGCAAACTCGTCCACAGCGCAAGTGGGGTCGAGGGGCTGACGGAGACCAACAGCGTGACAAAGAGGTCACGAAGCTGACGCGACATATGGCTCAATGATGCGTCAAGAAAGCAACCGCTGCCAGTCGTCATCAGATGCGAGTAGCCTGGGAGCTTGACACGCTTTCTTAAAGGTAACGTGGAGGTCACCATCAACAGCACGGAGATCCGCGAACGACATTGGACCACGACGATGACACGGAAACGTCCGAATGTAATATTCCGCTTGCCTTTCTTCGGGGAAGCGCAGTACATTCTGCCAGGAGCACGATATCCTGAAAGTAGGCGGGGTAGCCACAAGCCACTTTTAGCCGTGAGCTACGTGGAGTGGTGACAGACCTCGTTGTAAAGGCGAGTTCTCGGGGACACGCCGTCGTCGTCGGGGAGGGATGTCGGAGGAGAAGGCGAAAAAAGACAAGAGCATCGTACGTTGACCACTGAGAATACGCGCCTGTGCCATAGATAGCATCAACCACAAAAACGGAACTTGCTTGCCCTTGACGAGAGCAGCAAGCCGCTCGATGTTGTACGAAGAGCGCATGCAGCCCCGTGGAACACTTTGTAGTGTCCCGGCTAATATACTGCTTAACCTTGTCGATGACGTCTCCAATGGGTACGCAATGCGATCGTAACCCTTCTGCATACACTTGAGAGGGTTCTTGATCTACGCAAAGCTTTAGCACACATCGACGTTGTTGTGACATATGTACTCGAAAAGCAAGGTCGGGTTGCACTGGACAAAGATTTCGGTTGCTCACAGACGAGCATGAGCAAGATGTGCGCGAGAGCCAGACCGCGCTTTAAGAACTCAACCCTCGAACTTAGGTCGTCAATCGCAAAATGCATATTTTCATGATATCATGATCAATGCAGAGTTGTACGAAAATGTGAGATGTCCAAACAATTTGTTGGTAACGTCTTGCAGCCGAAATCATGTCGCTGATCCTCGTGAAACTTCTTAATTGCAGACTCATACAAACAAATTTTTTCAAATTGCATTACACTCGTCGTGATAAAATGGTCGAGCTTGCCGTACGTGCTGCACACATGAGCCATCACATTTTCTTAGTGCTGCGGAAGTCGCTTGCGATGAATGACGATTGAGGACTGCTCGCTTATAATGCCGAGAAGCCCAGCGCACCAAAAGACGTACAGCGATCGCGTCGGCACAACTTTGTTGCTTCAAATAACGCGAATTTGATCGGTTGGATTCGTGGCATTGAACACGGTTGTCATTGATCTCAGCAAGCCGGATCTCCTATTGCTTGGAGCCAACAATCAGAGTAAACCCCCTGGAGGCACCTGGCTCAAGCGGCCCCACAAGCAAAGCGAGTGAGCTCACGCATTGCCCACGATCTCGATGCGCGTAGCGCACCTGCCCGTCTGTCTGCGCAATACCCGGGACGACTGTATCCTTATGCACCCGGTATCTAGATATCTGACCGCTCTTCAGGCATATTAGAATCGAGCCATATGAATGTGTCTCTATCGCATTTTGACTCTTTTGGCGTCGCCCCTCCCATCCGCAAATCGTTGTCTGGATCCATACGGATTGGTTGGATCAAATTGGTGGAAAGTGTTGTACTAGAATGCACGAATTTGCAGAATTGCGCTTATTATGGACCGAATTGGCCGCATCTTCTCAAACCTTGGCGCTGTGCGATCCGTATGATTTTTTGTTGATATATTTCTCCTCTTGCGTACCGCGCAGCTCAGGGCAGCCACGGTTTTGTTCTGCATCTTTTAGGTCCAGATGTCAAAAGTTGTGGTGCAAAGCCCCATAAATTGTGAACCTAGTTCCTGATGTATATTTAAAAGGATGGTACACTCCGTTAGCGTTGATGCTGCATCAAGCAGAATGTTTTCCTATCATGCTGGAGGCTGGCAACGATCCAGAGTGAGCACCGGTGCTCGTCGCCGATCTTGCCGCTTGTGCAACAGCTACAGTCTAATTCGGAAGGTGAAGCAGATCTTGCAAGTCTCCTATACGTAGGTAAATGCTGCCACCTTGTACTTGGAGTGTCGACCTCGAGAAGGTCGTTTTTACTAGCCATCTCCAGCTTGGACATAGATTTTTGTTTAGGGCCGTTTTTCAATGTCAAGTCGGTCGCAACTGCCGTACCATTCTTCCACGTGGTTGTCTTCGGGCAATCTAAAAGTGCCTCATGTCGATTCGACTCTGTACAGATGGGTGTGGCTTGCGCTCGAGGCGGCACTCTCGACTGGCGCGACTGGCGCGGAGGGTCCTTTTTTCGTAAAGCTGTACGCGCAGCCGAGTTGTGGAGATGGACGGAGCAACCAGGTCTGTGCTGGCAAGTGTGAGTGTACAAAAGCATTCTTGTGTTTTCCCAGGTGCGTAAGATTGGCCTACTTGACAACAGCAGCGGTCACCATCTCTGCTCAACCTGTCCGCAAGCACATACTCTCGTGCGTCATTTCTCTAAATTTTCATTGCGCAAGACAATCGCTGCATGTCAAATTTGCGCCCCAGCTAGCTGCCTATCATCATAAACCGCACAGGTCCGACCTAACAAGCATACGGCGCGGGTTTATACGTCTGGTCGCTTCGCGGCAAGTCGTCGGGAGGATGACGCCGTGCGGCCCACAAAGATCTAAAACAGGTTGGAGTTGCTTTGCTATACCTACCTATCTTGGATGATTGACGGCAACATCCAAATATTCGTGACAAAGAGGAGAGGAGCTGCCGCAATGATTCTTACAAAACCCACACGACTGCGCCGACTGATGCATTACGCGGTGATGCCTTGCGCACTACGTTCGAGCACATGCTGCGCACGTGGGGCCGCTTCGCCTCCGGTCAGTCTGATCCAGGTGCCTTCGAGGAGGGTGTACCTCGATCATTCTGCATCTTTCTGCATCAAGCGATGAGGGACTGGTGGCGCATCACAGGTTACCTCCTATTGCTGACCGAGTGCATATGCCTATCGGACTCATCGAACTGTCTTAAAACGCGGTACATCGTAGAGACACAGGAAGGCCCAGGCCGTGATAGATGTAATGTAGATTCTGGTAAATTGAGAAAAACTGCATTTCCAGGACTCACTTTTCGTGTCTGATAAAGGATGAAAATGGATCAAGAAAACATTAATCTGCATCCTCAGGATTCCTTGTCCCGAGGTGTATTCCGGCTAGTGCAAGGTGGATCAGGCATTTTTCCTGAAGAAAATAATATACTTCAGTAAGCCACGTGATTCTTTCACAGCCATACTTTTTTTGTAAATAGCTTTAAGACAGCAAGCAAGTACTTGCGATGAGGTGTCGAAAAAGGATTACGTTGATTGTGGCTTGGCACGCGGTTAACCGTTTAGCGCAAAGACTTGTGCCAAAGATGACTAAAGACTACTCATCGTAATTTTAAGTATCTTAGTAGAGCGAGATGCTTCTTTTATGAGATAAGAGGACTGTCAAAAAATACTTTTTATATATATATATATACGTGTTCCGCGTTATCTTCCTACGCCTGAATGCGTACGAGTTGGCATCAGCACTTGGTCGTTGGAAGGGAGCTGCGCACGGAGAGATCCATCAATAAATAATTTATGTAATTAACCGTGTTTCTGCATCTTCGATGTAGTGGATACAAACAGAGTTACAGAGCTCGATGGAATACAGTGGTGCATTTCTTACAAACTCTGTTTGTTTTTAAAGCGTATTCAGTGACGTCATGCAGCAGTACAATAGATGCGATAGTAGTTTCTGTTGCTTAAATGGCAAACGCTGCCTGGTAAAAGGAATGTAGCTATATGAGGTGCAATACAATGGAGAATGCCAGTGATACTCCATGCCCTTGCTAGATCACTTTTGCCGCGAGTTCACAAGTATAAAACAAGGAATGACCGGAAATACGTACGAACGCAGTCATGACAAGGCAAGTGCCAAGAGGACGCAAACCGCACGTAGAAAATGAACAAAAAACAGGTACCAATGTTCACAGTTAACAGCATACGCGGTCATCCGCTCAACAGGCGGCAAATATTTAAAAAAGTGCCACCCAAGGTGAACAAGAGTTCAAGTCCTCGGCTTAGCCAGTCAGTCTACCTATCCACCAATCAGATCTAACTAAACCACATAAATTCTAGAAACAATAAACCGATAAGAGGGGCGATGCCAAATGAAACAATATGACTGACTCGATCCTGATATACCTAGAAAGCGGTATCATATCCAGCGAATTACGGTTACCAGAAACAAAAAAATATGTCCTAAGCGTCTCGATAAAGGCCAGCAGGTGCGCTTCGCATATGCACCGTGTGTACGCACTCGCTGCGCTCGTGGGGCCGCTGCGCGGCCACCTCAGTCCGAGCTAGCTGCTCTGTAGGAGGGTATACCCAGATCTTTTTGCTATATATAAGCAATACGAGAAAACAACCGAGGAAAATATTTCAACAGATGACGAACGACGACGACATAGTTCTCCTCGCATGCGTCATGGCCGCAGCGGCGGCCGCATCAGCCATCAAGAACGAGCTTCTTGATAGTACCCAGCCCGAGGTTAGGCCGCAGCCCCGGTTCGTGCGCCCAGAGATGTCGTACTTGGACTACCTGGACATGCAACGCGACCTACCCTATGATCGGCGTCTTGGGCTTGCTCGAGTTGCTGCCCATGGTCACTGGTCGGTCGCAGTGGCGTCGGCGACTGCTGTGCAATGGATGACACTTTTCGCATGAGCGGTACAAGCCTCGATGCTTCAGTCAAGATGATGGGGACGTGTAAACCCACGCGATGTGGTATGCTTCGTTGTGCATTAGCTGGCGACTGGGTTCCCAGCCTGTCCCCTTCAGGTTTTTACCACCCGCCACGACACACTTGCCGGAGGGTTAGACCAAGGCAAATTTGAGCGCGTTCCCGCCTACAATACATATTTATAAGCTCATTTTGCTTCGATTAAATTTAACGCCAAATCCTAGCTATCGAGCCGTCGATCGAATCGTGCTCGGTCAGCAATCCGATAGTGGATTCGTCGATGCCAACTGAATGTACATCCTGGGTGCGGATCCACTTCTTACAACGAAAACGGCCTCAAGTACCACTCGCACGTGATCGCACTCGGGTTTGCTGTCACGACGTGGAAAGCTCAAAGTGAGACGTGCCGACGCGTCATTGCTTATCTAGAACACAACCCTCGGTCGCCAGCATTAACGTTTGCTCTACCCTATGTTCTCGCTCGTTTGATCATCGTCCCACTTTCGCTGCATGCCTCTCGTTGAGTTTTGACCGCAAGCGTCACGAATCACTACGACCCAACATGATTGCTGTGCAGTGGATGGGACGACGGGTATTGGTATTCGAGGGACAATATGCACATCGAGCCCCCCAACGCGCACCGCCCCAAAGCCGCCCTTGCCAAGGACACGAGGAAACGTGCTGCCAAGTCGACCGATGTCGTTTAGCCGGTGACCAAGCTCACTAAGGTCTTATCACCAAGTTCGAGCATCCTCCAAGCGAAGGCCAACGCGAGGAATGGAAAGAAAGCAGCCCAGAACTTGCCTACAGCGAAGGCCACAAATTCATCAGCAAGGCGCTCACGAACTGATCTCGACGCTGCAATGCTCACGAAGAAGTCCGAGCTTTCTTCGTGTGGAACTGTCATCGTAGTCGCCTCGTCTGGAGCCGTTACCCTGCTCGTGGATGCGCTCGACACAAATGGAGTCAACAACTATACGGCCACCCACAACGACGTCGTTCGTTTTGCCCATGTGCACCGCTTCATGCCCAACTTTGACGATACGTGGCTATTGCTACGGTCTGGCGAGTGGCTCATCGAAACAACATATCGATCTGTTCATGCAATTGCCCATCGCGCGCACGAGCCGCGCTGTTGCTTTCGTCTCGATGAGCCATTACGCCATCTACAAGAAGAGCTCCATGCACTGAACGACACGCATCACCACGGACGAACAAAGTACCATGCTCTTCTCCAACGGAACACCGACCTGCGCACCTTCGCTTTGTGGCTTATGCCCATTTCCAAGAACAAAGTCCACTGGCATCTTCTTTTCTTCGTTCTGCTCGGTAATCTCAATGGGTACGTCACAATCTTGGACTCGATTAACAAGAGCGGCAGGGCGGACAAGCGCAATCTGGAGCTCCTCTCGTTTGGTGATGGCCTTGCCACTCTGGTCTTCAGTGATCCACCCATCGCCAACCATTTCCACTTGCGGCGCGTCGTCCTCGCGGGTGCCTCAGCAATTGAACGGCTGCGACTGAGGCATATTTGTCATCCTCCACACTATTAACTGCGTGGCTAACTTTGAAGCACTTTGCACGATCGATCCGATAAATACCCGCGCACTCAACTTTCATGGCTAGTACAGTCAAGGCATCGCTCATCGCAATCACTGTCGCATCATATTAATCTGCTTCGAGCTGCACTTCTTAATCTACGTGTCGTCTTTAAAGTGGCTGGCGGTTCGCATGCTTCTCCTTGGTTACCACACATGGCTGTCCAAGCGGTCATCCTACAATTGCGAGAGACCGGTTAGTTACTACCAGCCCACCCCGCAAGGGACGTGTTGTCAAAGCCGTGCCCACAGCAAACTGTCCGTGGATGCTCGTGGAGGACATGAGTGTGACGTCGGACGATTGCCCTAACATTCTCAAGGCGTACCGCCGCTACGTCAATCAGCTCATCGCATCGGTCGCTGGTTTTTAGATAAAGCAACCGCAGGCTACAGTACTACACGAGGACGGTCATCGACGTAGTCTCTTGTACCGTCAACAAGGCGAGTGTGGCGACGTCCAACGAAGACGAGGCGTGGCAGGCCGAGGCGTCGTCTTGATAGACTCGGCGGTGGTGTCGTATTTCCCGTCATAATAGTGTCATAAAGTGTCATAAAAAGGCCCTTTTATGACAGTATTTTATGACATAATTATGACATATTTATGACAATATGAGAATAATGCGCTCGTTGGCTGCTTGTTCCACAGCCAAACACCCCTACACCCTCTCACCCGCAATCCCAACATCCTCCTCTCCTTCTAACCTCCTCCTAACCTCCTCCTCTCCTTCTAGCCTCCTCCTAACCTCCTCGGCGTGGTTGAATCCTACCCCAAAACATTATGACGTTTTTATGACAATATTATGATTTATGACACAATTATGACGGGAGAAATACGAGCCTCGGCGGTGACCCTCCTCCACTCGACTGCAGTTGCATGGTGAGCGCAATGACGGGTGCATCATTTCAGCGCGTTGCTACGCGTCCAGGATTGCGGCCCATGCGATGTCGGTGCGGCGTCTGCCGGTCGATTGTACGAGCCTTTTCACGTACTCATAGATCTGAGTATTCGTCGAAGAGGTGTCATAGGGATGTATCCGGGAGCGCGCTATCGCGTGGGAGTATGTTTAGCTGACTGCAGAAAGCGTCGTCTTGATTTTTCGAGATCACAGACACACTAGAGGTCGAGACCACAAGCATCTTTACCTACCAGGTCGAAAGTGTCGGGCGCGGGCCAGCCAGTTCTGCAAGCCTGTAGATGGCTTCGAAAAGGTTGATGTCGTTGCTGTGTCGACGAGGTCATCGAGGGAGCTTATACGAGTTTGGCATCGTCAAGCTTGGTCACGAGCTAAGCGCATGCAAAGCGTCGTACCTGTTTACGGCGTTGTGCAGCGTTGCAGGCTTGGCGTCATGAGCTGTAGGTCGACAGTAGTGAGGAGAGACGGAAGATTGAGTCGGCGATTGAGGCAATAGCGTTAATAAGATACCCAATCCAAGCGACGTTTTCGGATCTTTCGGCACTTTCAATTCGAAAAGACACATGCCACCCAAGCCCAAGGCAACGTCGCCGACGAAGAAGAAGGCCAAAGAGACCAAGGCCTCGGATGCTATTGCCTCGGACACGCCCAAGAGCGGCGACGTGCCAGCACAAGCCACGGAAACCGACGACGCCGACATTTACCACGAGCCTGTACGGACCCATGTTAGACCAACGACGATAGGCGCGCGTAGGTCAAGAAGATCGTCGTTCCAGACAACCAGCTACGCCTCAATGAGCAAGAGCTCAAGGAAGAGTTCTCGCGGTGCGTCGCGAGTCCAACATCGTCTGGCGCTCACACGCGCTCTTAGGGTCCTCACGGCCAACGACCCGAACGTGCCCAATAATATCACCAAGTACAACTACAAGGAGCGCATGTACAAAGTTGATCCCCCGGGACCGGCGACAACTTGTATCTGCACCTCGCGCTCGAAGGCTCCATGATCCACAAAGAGTCGGAAGACGCCAAGGCACAAGCGGCGTACGACATGAAGAAGGCCGAGGAAGAGAAGGAAGCACGGGATGCTGCGATCAAGATTGCCAAGGAAGAGGCCGAGGCAAAAGGTGAAAAGCTCGACGAGACGGCGCTCCAGTTTGAGTCGGGGAAGAACCAGTTCAACTACAGCGAGCGGGCGGCACAGACGTACACGAACCCGCTGCGGCAGCGGTCGGTGGAGACGGAGCCTCCGCCCGTGCTCAACTACATGGCCACTGTGACGCAGGTAGTGTCGA